AGGTTCCCCCCCCCAGCAAATCCCTCCGCTCCTCCAGCGCCCGCTAAAACAACCCTACGCCTGCGCTGTGCGGTGGACTGTCCACTGTCCACTGTCCACTGTCCACTGTACCGTACTCCACGCCCTCGCCCATCCACCCTCGACTCTCCCTTCCCCCATCTCCGCTTTCATCTCCATCTCCATCTCCATCTCCATCTCCATCTCCATCGCCATCCCCATCTCCATCAACACCCTCAATCCTCACTCCTCGATCCACCGCCTCCCTCTCCACCCCTTAACAAACCCCCTCCCCACCGCATCGCATCGCACCACGCCCTGTAACCCTCCCTCTCCCGCCATCGTCCAACCCTTCACCAATTGATTTCCGACCTTTTCGCCGCCTGCGGGCGCCTCGTGCCAGGGAAAAAGGAGACTGTACGAAGTACCCGTCGATCGATCGTGTCCCCGTCGCGCCACCCAGCAACTACTCGAATCCAGCAGAAAGTCAGTCGAAGCATATCCTGCCCGTCTGCCTGCCTTACTCCCGCCGCCATGTCGTCGTCGGTAAAGCGGGCTTGCGATGCCTGCCATCGACGCAAAGTCAAATGCGATGGGATCAATCCGTGTCGGAATTGCTCGTCCGCACAACTCTCCTGTACCTACCACGCCATCCCCCAGAAGAAGGGCCCCAAGGGATCGCGAGCCAAGGTGATCAGCGAACTGCGCGAGACCCAGCGACAGTCCACGCTCTCCTCCAAAGTCGCGAATCGTTTGAACGGGGTGGCCAGTCCGCCATGCAGCCCGTCGCTCGCCCCGACCCCGGGCCTTCTGACCAACGACATGATCAAGGAATGCATCGAGTTCTTCTTCGCCAACATGTATCCAACCCTACCCGTCCTGCACCGAGGCCGCCTTGAGCAGCAAGCCATGTACGCCGACCAGAATGTCGATACCTATTGCCTTTTGACGTCGCTGTGCGCCTTCATGATGATCCAGCCGGGCATGGGCATCCCCGGCGACCCCCTCGGGCTCGATAGTCTGCCGGGCTCCAATCTCGTGTCGGGGAACCTGTTGATGGAGGAGACCATAAGGGTGAGGAAGAGTTACGACCACCTGGAAACGCCTACCCTGAATAGTTTGGTGACTAGTTTCTTCTTGTTTGGCTGTTATTTTGGCCTGGATCTACACAACAAGGCGTGGTTCCACCTGCGAGAGGCTACCACACTGGCACATATTTTGGGTCTCCATAAGGAAAGCACCTATTTACAGTTCGATGCGGTCGAGTCATCGAGAAGACGTCGACTTTACTGGCTGCTCTTCGTCACTGAGAGGTATTCTTCCCCTTTCTCGCCAATCTAACTCGCGCTAACATATGTGCAGAGCGTATGCCCTGCAACGGCATCGACCGCTATCCTTGCAAGCAACTATCACCCTACCAACACAGAACGACGATCCTTCCGACACACAAGCTCACCATTTGCATGGGTTTCTCCACCTGGTCAATCTGTTCCGACCATTTGATGAAAGCTTCGTTGCTTTGTGGAACAAGACACGGAATGATTGCTCGCCGGCCTACTTGGCCGTCCTACAGAAGCAGCTCAATGATGCATTACCAACACATCTCAACTCCACCGAAAATCAAACTACTGACCTGAGAACCAGCCAACAGTGGCTACGGACAATGGTCTGGCAATTGAGCATCCAGAATGGTTATCTGAGCTCCAAGAATGATGATCCATGCATGACCTTCCAATATCCGGTTGAGATATCACGGGACTTGGTGGCCATGACCTCGCAGTTCTCACACCAAAGCATGGAGGTACATGGCATTGGTCTGGTACATTGATTATCTTCACATCCCGCATTCGTGTCCATCAAACTAACTTGTTGCCAGGTCGAGAAGCTTTTTGATGTTGCTTGCTCTTTGACCGACGTCCTGTCGCTTCTCCCACCCAATCCCGATCCTTTCCAACTTGGTCCTCGGGACTATCTCAACGACTTCCTGACCATCTTGTCTGTCCTCCGCAACGGCGATAACCGCTTCCTCCCACTCCTTCTCTCCAAGGTCCATGATGTTCTTCCCCGCCTGGTAAACCCAATGCTTCAAACAGTTCCCGATACTCCAGCGAATATGTGTGCTGACGTCGACATCTTCGACGGCTTCGGAAATGCGGGCATGGGAGTAGCTAGCAACTTCCCCGGCTACAACGGTGACGGAACGAGTGGCCCATTCAAGGTCGAGCCTGACACGGATTTCAACCGACCAAATGCGTCTTTGGCTCCGTACGACAAGCGGATGGAGCAACTGGCTTCACCCATCCATGGCCCAGGTAGTAGCGGTAGCGAAAATACCCCATTCACCAGTCCACCTATAATACAGAGCCCAATTAGCCCAATGGAATTCCCTGGGATGGGCGAGTATGGTGGTTTCCAAAACTTGAGCTCGCCCGGGGTAGCCCATAACCTAACTACTGCTCCTCATATTGGCAACTTTGGTGAAGGGGTACGAAGTAACAACCGACAGGTTGAGTTCAAGCAGGAGTTCGAGCCCAATCTAAACGTTCCAAGCCAGGGAATAGGTGCAAATGGTGGGGGTTTGGGTATAATGCGAAGACCGCCACCTAAGCAGAACTGCAGTTCAAACTTCGGCATGCAAATCCCAAGGAGCATACCGACAGCAGAACAGTTCCATAATTTGCATCGTGCAAATAGTAACGCGGAAGCTTCGAGTCTGGGAATGGGTGGAGGAGAGATGCCCTTCCGATAGCCTACCAAGTAGGCTTGGGACTTTACCAGCACCACGGAGTTAGCTGAGGGCAAGCCGAGCTTGGCCTTGCCCTACGGAACCGCCGCCGAAGATGCGACCTTCAGATGGGCACATTTTGGGCCGTAAAATTTCAGATCACTGCAACAGCAATAGTTGGCCATGCGGGCGCCAGTGTCTGTCAAGACAAGTGGACAACTGTCGCAGGTTACCCAGCGTCGATTTCAACAATGCATTGAGCATCGCTGTTATCAGGATATCTCGTTTTTATTATACTTCCTTCCTGTCTCCTGGTGGAGATTATTCTCGGAAGGATATAATTTGGCGTTATGGAAGTGCTCTGGTAGTACATTTGCTTCGTTTTGCCTGCGCTCAATATCTTTAGCTTTTTGTCCTGTCCTGCTATATAGTTAGAAAGGTTGTTGATAAGGAGGCAATGAGACAGATGTGGAGTAAGGAGGGTCTTTGCTAATGTTTGGATTGTATGAAGATAGACGAACGATGATGCGACGGCTTGGCGATATTTTATGTGTGGAGATGTTTTTGATATATACAACACAGTGTAACATTGACATGATAAATTGAATTAAAGATATAAACAAAGGCTGAGGTTTTGGGAATTGGATGCCACCTGTGAGTTTTTATCTTAATTAAAGGCTTTGGGAGTGACTACTTGACTTGATGTATTGCTGAATTCGGTATCATTTAACCCCCCTGATGGAAGGGATTTAAGGGTTGGCAAGTGTCCATCTTCCTCAAAATCCATGCTTCTAAACATGGAGGAACCGAAGTCAACCCCTTTCGATTGTTTTGCATTTCTCGGGGAGACTGACACCTCCGTACCCGCTGCCTTGTTGGATGTTTTGCGGTGGCAGGCTTCCATCCCCGCCAGTGTATACCATGCATGTAAATGATGTGGATATTGTCTAGAATTCGCGAAACTACAAACAGAGCACGGTAATTGGGAGATGATTCTGCGATCAGCACACTGGGGGACAGCCAGGCGCAGGTTTTTGCCGGATTTTGGGTATAAATATGGTTGGGTATTGATTGCTAGTTGGTAATAGCTATAAACTCGGTGAAAAAGGTCGACGTGTGCCTATTGCCAATATTCAACCCACGATTCAACCACCGATCATGAGATGACCGTCCTTGCGATTTCGACATATTCAGATACGGGCATCCCAAAATAGCAGACCAGGATTTGATGAAACAAGCTGGGTGTTTGCGGAAATGGCGGACCACCGTCCGCTCAATTACACTGCTAGCAGCGCTGCCTGGTTGTGGTTGAACCGTTCTATGCAGAACGACAATTACCCAGATGAAGGATAATTCGCAGGGTGACGTACACTTGGCCGGTCTCGGAACGCCATTAGATCTCCCTCAGGGATATACCACGAGTTCACTGAGTTTTGTTGCACGTCTGGATTATTTGGCCCCCAACCCCATGTGCGAAATGATCTGAGTAGGAGATGGAGAGACGATGGAAGGCCGCCAGGTCACGTGCTAAAATCGGCCTAATTGATTTTGGCGCGTTCGCGTCACTCGAACGCGTCTCCTGATCACGTCGATCCATCAGTTCTTTACCAACATTACAACAGCAACAATGATTCGGCAGGATCCCTCACGTATTGATCCTAAGAGACGTACCGGGCTCAATCATAGACAGAAACAATTTGCAGCGCCAACATTTCAGAATGTCGAGTACAAGCACCGCCTAAACTTTTACATCATCCCCCCCACATCCGACATCACCCTTGAGCAGTTCGAGCAATGGGCCATAGACCGCCTTCGAGGTATGAGAAATGTCCATGTATTTGGCTCATAACCTTGGCCTGTTTCTGACGTTGTTAGTTCTCGCCGAACTCGAAGCATGCTCCTTCAGGAACAAGAGCCCCGCCGAGACCGCAACCCACATGAAGCCTATCCTCGATAAATACCTCCCATTATCTTCCTCGGTGTCTGGGTCCACAGCTTTACAGAACGAAAGACAGAAAGACCACTACAGCCACTTTATTCTTCGGCTTGCATTTGCCTCTACGGAAGATTTGCGCCGGCGCTTTGCGCGCGCCGAATCCATGCTGTTCCGAATGCGATTTCAAGCAGATGATTCGAAAGAACGGCAAGCATTCGTCGAAAGCCTGAACTTAGATTGGGAAACTGTCGGAGACGATGAGAGGAGGGAATATGCGGAACAACTAAGAGCTGCTGGCGGCGGGTATCCGAAGAGAATTGAAGAGGAGAATTACTTTAAAGTTGATTGGGAGAGGGTACCCGAGCTGGTGGATAGCAGGAGAGTGTTTTTGAAATACGGGAAGGCGTATGTTCCCGGACGGGAGCAGGCTTCTATTATTGTTGCGGAGTTTACGAGTAGGCTGGAGAAGGATTTAGAAGTTGGTGCTCATCACGCTGGCCTGGTACTGTGCTAACCGTCTCCCAGCTTACTGCTCGAGGTCTGCCCCGACTAGATGAAGATGATAGGCTAGCACCAATTCTTGCTCACCTCTCGGCAAACTTCACCACACCGGATGCTAGTTATTCTAGCTCCCAGACAGCCCTTCCAGGAGCCGACATCTCCGCTCGGAACATTGACGCCCTCTCCGCGTCCTTCCCGCTTTGCATGCAAAGTCTACACCGGTCCTTGCGCCGTGATGCACACCTCAAACATTACGGCCGCCTCCAATACACCCTCTTTCTAAAGGGCATTGGGCTGAACCTTGAAGAGTGTCTGCTTTTCTGGCGCACGTCCTTTAGCAAGATAACGGATGATGTATATAATAAAGAGTACAGATACAACGTTCGACACGCCTATGGCGATGTGGGTGGCGATTCAAATCGGCGAGGAAATGGATATAGCCCATTCTCCTGCCAGAAGATTCTAACAGAGCATCCTCCTGGCCCCGGCGAGTCGCACGGGTGCCCATATAGACACTTCAGTATTGACAATTTGACGGCTTTGCTACAAAATGTCGGAGTCAAGGACCAAGAAGTCCTAAGGGGTGTCAAGGAGGATAAGGAGAAACAGAAGTTCCATCTCGCTTGCAACCGGTAAATATCCCCCTTTTTCCTGTTGACCCTCTCCGTTGGTGCATTTGCTGACCGTCACTCTAAGGGTGTTTGAGTATGTTCACAAGCAGGAAATTAAGAAGGTCAGAGATGAAGGCACATGGGGCGCTGCACAATTGGAGACAATTGTTCATCCCAACGAATATTTCAAGAGGAGCTACCTGTTGAAGAATATGGGGAACAACCCAATAGAAAGCGATGGAAAGGATGCCGATGTTCGGATGGAAGGCTGATATGACCACGCACTTGAATTAGGGCTGGAGGAAAATGGCGTCAAGGCGTTTATAGGTGGGAGCTAGGCTATGGGGTATTGAGTTGAATGGTTATTGTCGCCCCTAAAGCTGCAGGCGCTGTGTGACGGTTGGTACAATATAATGAATTTATTTGTATGTGGACTTTGTCATATGAATGATGCAAAGTAAAGAGGTTCCTGCTCTGGGGTTAGTTCTACGTGATCATTAAGAAGCTATTATAGGTCAACGCGCAATAAGACTGCCCTTAGGCGCCTAGGTAGGTAGGCAGTATCTACTAGTTCATAGCTAGAGTGTCTGGGACGTCTCTGTTGCCTTAACCCTTACTTCTTTAGAGCAGACTATCGTTCTCTCATTCTTAGTTAGCTTCCCTTACTTTCCTGACTCGGGTGAAATATGCCATTCCTCGTCTAACACGCTCAGGTGTCATCATACTTTCGACCTGGTTATCACCGCAGACTCGTAAATATTCCTTGCCTTATTCAGCGATCTAGCTTCCAAGGAATAGAAGTCCATGATATCAACAATAGCTCACTGCTAGATCACAGCTAGGGAATGGTGGACCGGCAGTTTGAGGGAGCAGCCCCTCCCCGACAAGTTCCGAGGGGAGCGGTTATAGTTTAGTCAACTGTTGCGTGAGATAGAGAGACTGTAACTATAGTATAGTAGTAGTAGTACAAGCTTAGTAGCTAAAGCTCAATTATAATAGTCGGAAAATATACGCTAAGTAGAGATAAGTTATATACCGGTATAACTGTGAGTATTCTAATCTTTACTTAGTCACACTTTTAGGAAGTAGTTATAAAATTAGAATTGAAAGTTATATGAATTTATATTTATACTAAATTTAGTAGTCTCTAGAATACTAAAAGTAGTTCAAATAAACTTAGTAATTAACATAGTTAGTCAACAGATATCTCTTTATAGTACCGGAAAAGCTAACTTAATGAAATAGCCTAAGAACGTGAAAGTTATAAAATCTGATTAGAGATCGTATTACGAGACGAGTCTATGATATCAACAATAGCTCACTGCTAGATCACAGCTAGGGAATGGTGGACCGGCAGTTTGAGGGAGCAGCCCCCCCCCCGACAAGTTCCGAGAGGAGCGGTTATAGTTTAGTCAACTGTTACGTGAGATAAAGAGACTACAACTACAATATAGTAATAGTAGTACAAACTCAGTAGCTAGAGTTCAATTACAATAGTCGGAAAATACACGCCAAGTAGAGATAGGTCATATACTGGCATAACTGTGAGCATTCCAATCCCCACTTGGTCACACCTTTGGGAAGCAGCTATAAAATTGGAGTTGAAAGTCATGCGAGCTTGTACTTACGCCAAATTTAGTGGTCCCCAGAGTACCAAAAGCAGTTCAAGTAAGCCTGGTAATCAGCATAGTTAGTCAACAGATATCCCCTTATAGCGCCGGAAAAGCTAACTTAATGAAATAGCCCGGGAACGTGAGGGCTATAAGATCTGATTAGGGATCGCATTGCGAGACGAGTACGGTTCGGTAGCGAGTCTATGTTCATAGTAAGTTAAATATACTTGGAATCACAGGGTGGACAGCGTATCGCGGGGAAGCTTTATATCAACAAGTACGGGATGATGACCCAAGTATCAACATCTCAGGCATCCAGGCAAAAGTATATTGCAAGGGTAGATTGTGAGCTCAAATATTCCATGGATGTCTTTATAGGTGAGTGTATTCTAATGCATCGATCACATCGCATGACGATGGATTGTGCTGGTCCCAATCATATCATCGAGTTTCGTCCCGTCATTGTCTGTCATCATCGGCTCCCATTTCTTCGACCGCTCTGGCTCCCTCCCCATATCAACGACTGACCACCCATCTAGGGTGCGCGCTTCTGTTTCTGGATTCGTAATACAACAGCGAACGAACGACTTTAAGAGACATGCAAGCAAAGGGCAAAAAGGCGGGCAAAGAGAGAAGAAAAGACATCCTCCATGAAAACGAAATCCTCGCTTCACCTCCCTTCTTGCCTTCTAACCATCATGGTCTCCCTCTGCTAAGTATGCCCATGCCGATTATGCCCTTTATGTTCATCCGTTCGTAAAAATAAAATAAAAGGAGAATTTCCCCAAAAGTGGGGAAATAGATAGCGACGCCGAGTTCAGTCATTCCATCGTTCGTTCGTTACTGTGATCATTATGATTTTCGTAATAGCGCTTTATACAACAAGAAGTGGAGAAGGAAAAGAAAACGCCGATGCACCAGTGGATGAATACCGCAACAGAGACCAGCGCCGGGGGAGAGAATGCCCGAAACTCAGTTAAGAGGCATATACCTCTCGACCCCCACTACCTCTCGGATGTGGGTAGTGATCCCGTCTCTGGGAACTTGGATCACTCCCCCTTCGATAAATATCCGCCGGGTGCTCACTATAGATAACATGTTCCACTCCGTAGCTGGGGGCGAATTTAACTTCCCCGAAGTATGGGCCGCCACCCCTGCTAGAAGCTCGATGACTGCTATCCCTGGGTGACCCCTTCGGTGGCCTCACAGTGTGAATTATTGGCTCCGGTGGGTCAGGCGTGTAATACGTTGCAGAACGAATGGGAATACCACGCGATCGCTCACTAGTAGTATGAGTTCGCAATGTGGAAGGACGCTCTCTGCTCCGGTGAGTGCCGTGAGGGGATTCACTGCGGTCACGGGAGTAGATACGTTCATCATCTATATTGTGAAGCTCAGAGCGGTGACGAGAGACCGGTATGGTACGGCCGTTATCAATGATATAGCGAGTGGGTTCCGCAGGTCGACGTGGCGGGGGACTGTATGAACGACGTTTGGGTTGATCATCGGAGTCCGATCCCTCGCTGGAGTACTCGACTGGCTTCTTCAACCTGCTGCCACTCGCTCGTTCCCGACTTCGATCGCCAGATTGGAAAGTCTGCGCTCTGGAAAGAGGAGGGATGGTCTCTGTCCGCGGATAATCTTGCGTCTGTGAACGTGCGGGCTTTTCGCGCCCAAGGTAGGGTAGGATGGGTGGCGCGGAGGTGTGAGTCTGAAGGGTAGGTTTCCTCGAGGTAGGTGGGGGCGAGGGAGGCTCGACAATATACGCATCTCTTGAAGGTGCTGGTGGCGATCTCCTATCTCTGCCCGACTTATCTCGAGTACGACTTGGAGGGGGTTCGGCGGACTTTCTGGACTCTTTGTGAGCGGATGATCGTCGAGGAGAGTCATCATCGCTGAACTGCGTGACATTCCGGACCGTGTATGAAGCCGAAGTCGCCGCAAAGGTCTCTGCTCTGCGTAGAAGGCTCGGGCGGAAGGCATCCTCCTCTACCGGTGCCACCTTTCGTCGCGCAGCCTGCATGTATTGCCCAGCAAAGTCCATGTGTTTATCCCATTTCGGGTCCAGGGGGGCCGGTTTGATGGAAGCCCGTTCATGAGCCCTCGCCGCGTCTCTGGCCGCCTCTTCCCTTTCCCTCTGAAGTCTGAATTCCTCGTCCAGCCTATGTCGACTAGACTTCTTCTCTGATGACCGGGATGCATATCGATATTCGTCCGAGTCGTCATCGTCCACGTAGACACCCGCAGTTCGACTATGTTTCTCTTCAGTCCCTCTCCGCCTCTCTTTATCGCGCGACTTCTTCTTCTCCCCGTGTGCGGCACGTCTGCTTTCCTTCTCGGCCCGTTGTCTGACCCGCTCCCGCTCCCGCTCGTCTTCCTCGTTTCTCCTCCTTTCGTCGTCCTTTGCCGAAGATCGCTTTCGATCTGCGGACTCGTAGGTGGTTGTTTTTCTGGGGGTCACCCTCGGCTCTTCATACACCACATCCTCGTATGATCGAGGCGGGGTGTGGGAGTAGACCTTTGGTGACGGTTGCGATGGCTTTGGTCGAGCGTAGGAGTTCGCCCTTGGCTCCGCCGTCCTCACCTCATATTCGAAAGGGTTGCTTCGGGCAGTGGGATTGCCACGCCCCATCTCCTTCCTCAGCTCAAAGAGTTTGACCTGCTCATTGTACTGGACGCGGCGGGTGTCGTCGCTGAGGATCTCGTAGGCGGCCTGGACCTTCTGGAACTCATCCTGCTTGGCGGCCTTCAGCGCGGCGTCCTGCACCTTATCTGGATGGCATTTGAGGACGAGTTTCCGATGAGCACTCCGGATCTCGGGAAGCTTAGCATCCTTCGGCACTCCTAAGGTCAGGTAGTGATCGGGGGGCGGGGTTGACATAGTTCAAGTCGGGATTGATGGGACGGGGAGAGCATAAGCTGGGGGGAGGTTCGGTTTGTATGCAGTCGTGGTTGCTTGTCGTGTTTTGGGAGGGAGGCTATTGCATGGCCAGCCAGCTGCGTTGGGGGAGGCAGGTTGGGTGTTTGTTGATAGTGAGTTCGGCGGTTGTTGATCGGAGATGGTGGTGATAGTGATGCAAGGTTGGGGGCGTGGGGGGGGAGGGTATTAAAAGAATGATTATTTGGTATTGACTTTCAACAAAGACAACAAAGACAAGGAACCCTCGGCGATGGGGAGGGTCGTTTTGGGGGTGAGGGCGGGTGAAAGCGTGGAGATAGTGATGTGAATGGGGATGGGCGATGGCGATTGAGATCAGAGTTGGGGATAGGGACAGCACAGCAGCGACCGGCAAACTGGGGACGGGGGCGATAGAGACCGGTGCTCGATGGCGATGGCGATGGCGACGGCGATGGCGTAGGGGGAGAGTTCGCGTCGTGGTGGAGGGTGTAGGGGTGTTGGGGGGGTTCTT